ACTGATCAGCTAATTAGCGGCATATCCTCAGTATGCCTTAACTAGGGAAGCTGATTGGTGCTTAAGAGATCAGAGCACCAAACAGCTTCCAGCCCCTGGTTCTCTCTCACACAGCTCACCCAATTGTCCAACGCTGAGGTTCCTTTTCCCTTGTGCATTCCTTTCTTTAGAGGATGCAACAGATGCCTGCTTCCTGCACTTGGTCATCTTCTCTACACCCAAAGAACTCATATTTTATAGGGGACAAATTTCCCCTTAATTCAGTTTCAGCCCACTGGTCTTGGTACCAGGTGTAATTTGAAGATCTAATCTCTTCCCATTCACCCATTTCATTTTGGGTCAGCGTGGATCCTTTTATATTCTTTCACTGTGGTTTCTCATTTTCCCAGTCCTACCAATATATCTCATGGTTCCTTCTCTCAAGGACATAGAAGCAAATATTTGATACACAGTCCATCCTCCTCTGATACTTTTGGGCTCCCCCCTTCTCACCTCCAGTGGCTAGGCTACTCGGCCAATTCTTTTCTTTTTCCATTTTTTCCTCAGGAACATTCATTTTCCTCTTTCATCACCAGTATGTATCCTGTCATCCAGGGTTCTTCTGTTCTCTTAACTTTGAGCCATTTCTTCATCTTCTTTGGTGGCTCAGTTCCCTTCTGCTGTACACCACAGACAGCTACTGTTTCAGTTCCAGTTCATCCCTAACGCCAACAGTTGGGGAAACCTATCCACAACTCCAAGCTGTTTCCATCTCACCTTAACCTGGACCTTTAGGGATATTGTGCCCATTGGGTTGAGTCATCTCTCCCCATTGATGCCCTCCAGACTCAGCCTTTCCCTTGTAGGATCCAGAGTGGCTTCACCACATCTTTCCTAGCAAACAAACACCCAGCCTCTCTCTCTTCTCCTCCTCATCTTTACTAAGATGATTGTCTTTTTTCTTTGGCACTCCCCCAATGGTATTGCTTGAATTAACACATATACCAATCAGGCCCAAACTACAGCATTCTAGTTGGAAAAAACATTTTACTATATTTAGCTCAAAAACAATGAGTATTACAAAGCCATTTCTTTGACATTTCAGTTTGTCACATCTTGTGTCACAGATTGGTAAATCTGATGGGTGACCATAGGATACTGCCCTTCAATCCAGGATAAACAGAAGGAAAAGCAAAAGTGATTATTCATTTAGGGTACTTCTACACAGCAGGGCTAAACTTGAAATAAGCTACGCAACTTGAGCTATGCTCATTGCGTAGTTTAAGTTGAAATAGCTTATTTCTAATTTGGGCATGAGTACACAGCACTTACTGTGAAATAGAGCACTCTTCCTCTGACTTCCCTTAATCCTTGTAAAATGAGGGTTACAGGAGTCAGAATAAGAAGCAGGGCCAGACTAGGGGTGGGCTAGCCGGGCAGCTGCCCAGGGTGTCAACTTACGGGGGGCGCCCGGCTCCCGGCGGGCTGCAGCAGCTGTCCGGGGTGGGGGCCGTGTTAACCCCCGCAGCATCAACCAGCAGCGTCCTTCCCCCCGCGGCCACAGGGCCCTGCACGGCCAGGTGCAGCCCGCCCTGGACAGCTCTGGGCTGTGCGCCATCAGAGGTGGCCAGGCCGACTGGGCAGCGCATGCACCATGCATCCACTCACGCACCCTCGGGGCGGGCCTGCGCATGCGTCGTGTGCCCGGAGGCGGTGCCGTGCACCCCAGGGGCAGCGCCATGCACCTGGGGCCCAGGGTGCCAAAATAGCTCGGGCTGGCCCTGATAAGGAGCTCTCTGGCTGGACATTATTTCAACATCATGACGAAATAACTACTTGTGTGTAGACGTGTACTTTGTTATTTCGAAATAATGTCAGTTATTCCAGAATAACGGTGCTGTGTAGATGTACCCTCAGACGAGAATACCCATCAGCTCACCAGTCATCCATTTAAGTGATATCATTAAAGGTTTAAAAAAAACCCTGACCTTCTGTAGATTGACAGCATCTTTATCTGCAAGTTCTTAGCTACTGAATCCGTTTCATATGTTTCCTCGCTCCCCAACTACCCAGGAGATACAAGCAACTTTTATTGATGTTAATGAAAGTTTGTTGTAGCCTTTAGGGAGACTATAGGGATCTAGTACTTTATTTATTTTACTGACTGCTGCACCTTCCCTAAGGATAATCTGACTAAGAAAAAATAAGATAAAAGATTTGCTGTGATATAAACAAATGCAACATGAGCTGTATAAGCCTTCTTGTATCAGAAAGTACAGCAAGGCTACGTCTACACTGGCCCCTCTTCCGGAAGGGGCATGTAAATTTCACGAGTCGTCGTAGGGAAATCCGCGGGGGATTTAAATATCCCCCGCGGCATTTAAATAAAAATGTCCGCCGCTTTTTTCCGGCTTTTAAAAAAGCCGGAAAAGAGCGTCTAGACTGGCCCCGATCCTCCGGAAAAAGTGCCCTTTTCCGGAGGCTCTTATTCTTACTTTGAAGTAAAAAT